CCATGTGGAATGTCTCTGGGCAGACTGGGCGGAGAAATTAGATCCAGCCCATCAGAAGGGAGGATGAAGAATGGGTTGTTCTATTCTGCTTCTTCTTGTCTCTTGTCCATTATTCAGTTGGCCCTATTGGTAGTTAAATCTTGTGTATGTCTAGGTGGTTTCACTGGCCCCTTCAGCAGTTGCTCAGGGAGTCAGATAACATATTGAGAGATCTGGGTGTCAGGGTCTGGAAGTCTGCAGTCAGTGTTTGTAGCCGGAAGAACTCAGGCAACAAAACTGTGAGGCCTCTCTCAGAGCTGGTTAGTCATGTCTGTGGCTGAGGTGGGCTAAGTAGCTAATGGCCTGGGACCCAAGTATCACTGATAGATGCTCAAAAAGCACAGGGCTGGGATATGGGTATCATTATGATTTGTCATACTGGGTCACCTGCTTACTCCTATGGCTCATGGGTTGTAGGAGGAAACATGAATGGAAGTATCCCATTCGCCCTCCCCTCAGGATAGTTCAGGTCCTCAACAACACCACAGATTAAATGCAAGGAATTTATTACGGAAACATCTGTGAGAGAAAAGGAGCTGGGGGAGACAAAGAGAACCTCAGAGAGTGAGGCAGGCAGGTATTATTCTAAGTGAAGGAGACATGCGCTGAGAGTTAGAGGTAAAAGTGTCTTAGACTGAATTAAGTTCTAAGGAAATCTGGGCAAGGTCACTGAGGAATCTTTGAGCCCAAGTCATCCATGAGAAGAGCATCATTTATCTCAGGAAAAAGCTTGTCCTAAAATCCCAGCTATGCCCAGTTGATGTCCAGGAGCAGCCTTGGAGAACTGTGGCGTGGATGTGAAGGACAGTGAATTTCAGAGCTTAGCATAGATTTCAGAGCTCAGTGGTTTGAGCTGATGACGCATGAATTACACTCCCCCATTTGGAGTACATTGTCATGGTCACACACCCTCCCAGCCAGTACTGCATGCAGGTGAAGAATGATTCCACATTCTGAAGAGAAAGAAGAGTGCCACTGCCAGCTGAAAGGGCAGGGTGCCGAACATGACAGCCAGTGTCCACCCCGCAGCTCAGAGGGTCCCCCTGGAATTCACTCTCTACCTGGCCAAACCTGAACTCAGGACTCCTCTATGCTCTGGAGAGTTCAGAGGTCTTCATTAGGAGATTACCATCCTCCTAAGCATGAAACCCGGGAGTAATATTAAACACCTTTAGTTCGCTTGCTCCTCACCCCTGCAAGAGCCAGTCCACTCCTTCCATCCCACATTGGTGGTACGGCCTCTGCATGTGTATCCTCTCCCCTCTGGTCTTGTTACTGACGTGCTCATGCTCGCATGGCATCTTGCCTAGACAAAGTATGGAAGTATCCAACAGGTATTCTGAAGTCCTACTCCATCCTATTTTCTCTGCCATATTGTCTTTTAAACATAGTTTTGACTATGTCATTCCCTTTGTAAAAATTTGTCATTGGGAATGGAAAATAATGGAGTTATTGTAGAAAACTGTATGGTGGTTACTTAAAAAAATTAAACATAATTCTCTGTGCTCTAGCAGCTTCACTTCTGGGTACCTACCTCAAAGAACTGAAAGCAGGAACTCAACAAGATATTTCTTCACCAATGTTCACAGCAGCATTACTCATAGTAACCAAAAATTAGAAACAAGCCAAATAGCCATTGATTGATGACTAGATAAATGTTCACAAAATGTGCTATTCAGAATGGAATATTATATTCAGCAATAAAAGGAAATGAAATTTTGGTGCATGCTACAACATGGATGAAGCTTGAAAACATGCTAAGTAACACATACCAGACACAGAAGGCCAAATACCCTGTGATACCACTTAGAGGAGGTACCAAAGGTAGTCAAATTCAGAGAGAGAAGCTAGCACAGAGGTCCCCAGGAGCCAGTGGAGGAGAGGTGAAGAGTTATTTGTGGGTACAGTTTCAGCACAGGAAGGCGACACAGTGTGGAGCTCCATGGTGGTGACAGTTGTAAAACCATGTCAATAATCTTTCCTGAACTCCTCTGTTTCATACTAGGTGAACAAAATCTCTCCCTTTTTTGAACTCTATAGCACATGGGTTGTATCTCTTTTTAATACTTAACTGTTTTTCTTTTGCAATGAGATAGGGACAGTGCTAAAACTATAAGGAATTTACTGTTATCCCAGCACTGGTCTTCAACCTTGTAAACTCAGAAGCCTGATCTTAATAGTAAGCAAAGGGTTACCCATCTGAGGGGGAGGGGGTAGGGGTCAGAGTATGTGTGAGGGCTGGGCCTTGTATTTTTCAAGGAGGAGGAGTCCTCCAGGTGCTAGGTCACTATCATGCAATCATAGAATCACACCAGAAAAGCATGAAGCATTTCTTACCTGAGAGAGCCTGGAATATTCTCACCCACTTATAGTGATAATACAGACTAGTAAATCCTATAGCTCAGGTTGGCTTGACTGAGACAGAAGTTAGTAGGCAATGCTAGTGTTTGCCTTGCTTGGGGCTATTATGGTTGGTTAAATCCTTTGGTCCACAGACTCTTTTTCCTAGCAGGAAAAAGGTGATTAGTTGGTAAGATTGATTAGGTTTCCATTTATTAAGTTACAATTACATCTGCCTCTTGAGATATCTCCCGTATGCTTTGGATCATAGTTTAGTTTGTTTTTTGGTCATACTTTAGACAAGTTCTTGGCAAAAGAACTTTAATTTAATTTCAAAGCTGGATTGGTTATGCTGTAGTAATAAACAACTAAAGCAATGTGAGTGGCTTACAGAAAAATTTACACGTTTTCACCCTTCTTAAAGTAGGATGTTCCTATTTGTTATGATTTGGTAGAGGAATTTGGAGTCTGGGAATGCTCAATTTTATTTTTCATATAATTATTCCCAGACCCCCAAAATAACTCAACAAATCATAACAAATGGAAACATCAACTTTTGGACCGTGGGGAAAACGTGCATTTCTTACTCACTTTACATGATGTGCAATGTTTACCAGTTGTGGCTCTTTACATCTTCCTTCTGACACCAAAACAGGAAGCAGCTCAACTTGGGACATGCTGTTCTCACAGTGGAGGAAAAAATAAAATGGCAGAATCATGAAAGGGCCCACATATTTCTGCTCAAAAGTGGTTCATGCCATTTCACTGATCAAAGCAAGGACAAGCTTGATGACATTAAGATGAGAAATAATCTCTTAGGGACAGGCCGACTAGGAAGGGCTTAAAAAAAGGGAGGGCAGAGAATACTGATAATGGTTTTTAGGCAGGGCTACTACTATCAGCCTCTGTGCACCAGTATGACTGTTATCAGTTACAATATGCACTATTAAAATAGAGAAATATTTTGTCCTGATTGGTAAATTGCTTCTGTCCCTGACAGCTGCTCTCCCCTATGAGTCTCTGGCGCCTACTATTTACAAAATGATTTCCTCAACTATGTGATTTGTATTCATTTAATTCTAAGGGCAATGTAGTTGTCAGGCTCTTGGAAATGAACCTGCTGCAGCACCTATGTGGACAAGAATTACAATAACGAGTAATGTTAATTTGTGTTGCATCCTACACATTTTTACATCTATTGCAAACACAGTATTCACAATAATTGTTCAATAAATATTTGTAAACTTATCTACCTTTGCCCCACTAGCTCTCTCTTTACTACCTCAATGTAGTATTTATTTGGGGTTTTCCTGTTTTAAATATTTTTGCCATTTCTCATGTCTGAAAATGTTATTACTTTTTTAAAAAAAGATTTATTTATGCATACAAGAACTGGGGTGTAGGTGTGAGGTGTGTGGCAGAGGGTAAGAGGATTACACTAGAGACAGAGTGGGGAGCAGAACAGGTGGATCTACTGAAATACCCTGCTGAGGGGAGCAGCAGATGATGGGAGAGTTCTGCTGTGCCATGTGGGTCAGCTCCCCTGCCTGGAATCAAACACTTGTTACAGTGGCTGGTGATTGCTTCAAAGCCTGTCTTTAACACCTGCACCTTGAGGGGGCCCATCATTATTTCTTTCTTCTAACACTTTTTCAATTTACAAAACACTCTCCCTAATACGATTTCATGCAATCTCCTCAACTGTCCCAGGAGGTAGGTATAGATCATTTTACAGATGAATATATTGAGAGTCAATGAAGTGAGGTGTGGTATAGCTAGTTAGTGTTCATTTATTAAATATTTATTGAGTGTCTGAAATGAGATTTATTAAGGTTGGATTTGAAAAGTGTTCCCAGAATTTAAAATAAAAGTTTATTTCACTATTCTCAACTACCATTATACCAAGATCGTAAGCTCAAAGGGAGGAAATAATATGTTGATTATATTGCTGGAGTCCCCTGAAACAAGTCTCAGAAAGGCTCCAAGGTTTCTTGTAAGAATTCAAGATAACCACCAGCAGCAGCCTCATTTCTGTTTTCTGCTTAATGCACCATATCATGAAAATTACATTAATACATTTGATGAACTTATCTAGAAGTTACTAACAGTAGAGCCTTGATAAAGTTACTTTCTTTTGAGCTTCGGTTTTAATACCTGTAAAACAGAAACAGTACTAATGCCTTCAGCCTAAGCTGTGATGAAGATGAACGTATGGAAAAGACAATGCTGAATTATTGTGGCTTGTAATTGTCTCTGATAAAGTTTTAAACCCTGCATTCAAATGAGAACTACTGTCTCTGTCGACCTACGATTACAAGTGGATCGCCTTGGGAAGTGACGCTCTCTATTCTGACCCCTATCACTTTAGTTAACTCCCCTTTCACAGGACTGAAAGCTATCTTCTTTAACGGTGCATTTGATCTGACATCCCCACGTTGTCCTTTGTCCCCCAACTCTCTCCCCTCCCCCCCAACCACCCAGATAAAAAACTGGACACTACTTATCCCTTAAAAATCAAGTGTGCAGACCACAACACAGAACCACAAAGACAACGCCCTACGGAGGTGACCAGGGAGCGCCTCCCGATCCCCCTGAAAGAGGGCGGGGCCAGAAAGCTCAGGGATCTTATTCCACTTCAGTCTCTCGGAGCCTTCTCAATTCTCGCGAGACTTGAAACGACTCAGCTTCTGCGCATTACAAGACACTGAGAGTCAGGGAGCCAAGGGAGGGGGGAGGGGAAGAGGGGGGAGACGGTGCAAACGGCGTGGCCGCCATCTTGTTTGTACCCCCGCTTCGCGCGCGCTCCGTTCTCCGTGACGCACACTTCCCCCTCCCCTCCGCAGTGTCCAGGGCCCTGCATTGCTCGACTTAGCAGGAGCGACTCCAGCTCTTCCCTGGACTCCTGAGCAGAGGTGTGTGAGTGTGGGAGCGCCTTTGGGAGGGAGAGTGAGGTGAGCGGCGGCGGCGGCACCGGGGGGTGGGGCAGCACTTCCCGCCTTCGGCGGAGACCTCACTTCCCTCTCGCGGCCGCTGCTGTAGTTCGGTCTGCCTGCCGCCATGTTGTGTTCTCGCCGGGCCCGCCGCTGTTATCGCCGCTGCGCTCGTGGGGTCCGTGCGCCTTGTCGGGCCGGCCTGCGGGCTTTCTCCCATTGGCGGAAGGCGACGGCGGGGGGGCTCGCTCGTGATTGGTCGGTGGCGGGGAGGCCGCGGACCTGGCACCTTATTGGTCGCGCTGGCTCCGGCCTGGGGGGTGATAAAGGAATCCGAGGTTGCGGGGATGCGCGCGTTGGGGCTGGGGCTGCTGGGTGTTGACCCCTTACGGCGCAGGCGTGGGGGGCCGGGGTGGGGTGCCATCGTGGAGGCCTTAGTGAGGGAGGGTGGTTTGGCACTTCTTTTGGGGGTAGCCTGTGCATGGCTCCGAGTAGGCGCGCTCCTACTTCCAGAGGTACTCTTCTTGGAACTTGCTTGCCTCAGGATAGGGGGGCTTGCAAGCCCCCAAGGGTTACAGGCTGAGACGATCAGCGAGATCAGAGGTGCTAGGCTTGGAGGTGATGCAGCGTGGAAGTGGCTGTGAAGTCCTTGGAGTCCAGGTCTGAGGGCATGGGGTAGAAGAAAGGGCATTAGCCCTAGGGCATTAGGAGGAGGTATATAGACTCAGGCCAAGAGAGAACTCTCTCTGGATATGTGTGACCAGTCCAAATAACTGAATGCCCGTCCTAGAAGGCACAGCATTATGAAGGGAGACATGTATAGGAGTGAGAAAATGCACAGCATTTGGGGGAACATTCACATGGGAAATAAATAAAAGCAACTGTAACTTATTGGATCATGCAGCTAATTTTGAGATGTTCTATATGAGAAATTTCCTGCTCAGTATCAGGGCTGAGTTCCCGAAGTTTACACTTTCTACAAATATCAGATACTTGGTAAACTACTTGTTATATGAGTATTGTTATGTTCCTCTTTAGTGGAAGAGAGCTTGACAGACACCCTTAGTCTTGGCTCATTTATTTCCTTTTTTATGTGCCCAGAAAATGCATTGAACCTCCTGTGCACTTAATTTTTTTTTTTTAATTAAGCATCCGGGAATGAAAGTAAACTTACTGCATAGCTTCTTGCATTTTCCCTTAAGTAACAACCTGTCAGCACTTTGTGGTTCATATATTTCAAAAGCTTTTGTTCTAGGAGAGTTAGCTTGTTGGGGGTACCTTTTTCATTGAATCAAAATGACTTGGGTTGTGTTTACATTTGCTTCCTCAAGGTTTGGGGATTATGGAAGTTAGGCCTAATGCCTTTCTAGCTTTAAGGGGATGCTTCTGGCTTCTGTTCTAATTTTAGGAAACTTATTTTCAAACTTGGTCATTTTATGTGAAAGTAAATTTTCTAGAGAGAAGAGGAAAGGAGTTGATATTTGGGGGGCACATTTAACACCACATTCCTGTTAGGTAGACATTCTCATCTCCCTGTTGCAGAAGAGAAAATTGAGGCGAGATTAAGTAGTTTATTCAGTGTCATTCAAACCTATTGCCTGATGCCAGAGCCTAAAGTTTTTATATGCTATGTCACGCTAATTGCACGAACCTGACTAGCCGTAGTTCCCAGTTATATATTTGAAAGTATATACAGTCTTTTATATATGGCTGTCTTTGATATATGGGTGAGAAAATACAATGAATAGAAACTTGTTCTGCTTCAAAGATTCAGAACACAGAATAGTAACCATATAGAATATGAGTTCTTTACTTAGGCATTTAAGTCACATGGAGTGGTTGCCTATCATGGAGGGAAAGATTTATTCTGCGGTTTTTCTGAACTCAGGTAGACAAATAAGGGAAAATATGCACAGAAAGTGTAAGAATCTGCATTCTTTAAAACCTAGTCTTTCTGTATATGGAATAATAGTCTTTCTGTATATGGAAGTGATTAATGACAAGCAGTGAGGAATTACCAAGTACATTGTGTAAAGAGCTTGTTAAGTGAACCTTCTCAAACATCACCTAACACTGAGGCCTATCCAAAGGAATAATGATTCTAAGGTATGCTTATCTCGAATATGCAAACTGGATGTGACAAAAAAAAAAAAATTTCCAGATGACAAAAGTACTTGGCAATACCAATGTAACATGGAAACTTAAATAATTGAGTTTTTAAGGGTATACTAGTAAATTGGAAGTCTTAGTTGCTTTAGGGAAACAGGAGTCAAGTTTTACATAGACAGTAAATGGCAAAGCCCAAACTCAAACATAGATCTGTAATTTTTAATTCTTACATACTTTTGTGGTACCCTTACTCTTAAACACTTTTCTTGACATAGAGTATTTGGAGAATGGAAAAATCCTTGCCTTTTACTCAGGAAGTAGTAACTTCCGTTTTGCCAAACATGTCCTTTGTAAGATGGCCTAAATAGTGTGATGACCTTGAAAAGGTCACTTAGCTGTACCAAGGCATAGCCAAATCTAGCCTAGATCGCTGGATTTTTAGACCATTGGTCATTCTGCTGGATAATGTTGCCTTTACTGTGGGAGCATTGGCTTGTGGCAGAGGTAACATTAAGCCACCTTCTGTGTTTTGACAAGTTTGCTGCATGCACAGGAGTGAAAATGGCAAAGGACATTATTGGGGTCACAGATGACCTTTTTTTTTTTTTAAAGATTTATTTATTTATTCATACAGAACTGGGGTACAGGCCAGAGATGCGGAGGGTGAGAGGATTCACCAGAGACAGAGTGGGGAGCAGAACAGGCAGATCGACGAAGTACACTGCTGAGGGGAGCAGCGGGCGGGTCAGGAGAGGTCTGCCACGCCATGTGGTCACCTCCGGGGCAGGCGGGAATCGAACTCATGCGGAAGCGGCTTTAGATTCTCAGTGCTGTGCTTTAACCCGCTGCGCCACCAGGGAGGGCCACAGGTGACCTTCTTAAGGTTCATTCCAGCCTACGGCATACAACTTAAGAACATTCCTTAGCCAGCAAGTTGTTCTTTTCCATGCTATTTCTTGTGTTGAAAGCAAACTGGTTGTGAGTTATCTGATGTCTTATAGTGTCTCTTTTCATTTTGTTTATTGTTTCTCATGCGCGCACTGTGACTAGTTAGGAAGGCTACAAGGTCATTTTAATGTTTTCCCACAGAGACTCAAAGCAACTAACCTAATTTAAGTAGATTAATTGTAGGAGGAAATAGATTTAAAATACTTAAAAGTGCCTTTGGCAAGGGGCAATGTAGCTGCTGACTTTGGAGTCAAACCTGGGAAAGAATTCTTTCTCTGCAGTACATTTACCCTCTGTGTGAGCTGGGGTCAGATTCTTTTTTTTTTTTTAAGATTTATTTTTTATGCACGCAGAACTGGGGTACAGGCCAGAGGTGCAGGGTGGGTGAGAGGATTCACTATAGCCAGAGTGGGGAGCAGAACAGGCAGATTGACGAAATACACTGCTTGAGGGGAGCAGTGGGCAGGTCAGGAGAGGTCTGCTGCACCATGTAGATCACCGCCAGGGCTAGGACCAGGGATTGAACTCTCACTGAAGTGGCTGCAGCCAGCTTGCAGTGCTGGGTCCTTACCCGTTGGGCCACCAGGGAGGGCCTGGGTCAGATTCTTAAACTCTCTGAGCCTTAGTTTCTTCCTATGTAAAGTAGTGGTAATAATAACCTAGCTCATAGAATGATATGGAAAAAACGAACAAACACACACAGTAGCATATGGTAGGTATCTGTCACTTATTGGACCTTAATAGATGCGAACATTATCACATTCTTTTTAGAAAGCTTAAAATTTATCCCAGTAGCCAGTTAGAGCTTCCCTGATGAGGAGATCTTTTTTTTTTTTTTTAAAGATTTATTTATTTGTGCATACAGAACTGGGGTACAGGCCAGAGGCTCAGGGGCGGCGAAAGCCTTCACCAGAGACAGAGTGGGGAACAGAACAGGCAGATCGACGAAGCACACTGCTGAGGGGAGCAGCGGGGCGGGTCAGGAGAGGTCTGCCACGCCATGTGGTCACCTCCGGGGCAGGCGGGAATCGAACTCATGCGGAAGCGGCTCCAGATTCTCAGTGCTGTGCTCCAACCCGCTGCGCCACCAGGGAGGGCTGAGGAGATCTTTTATAACTATCTGATATATACAATATGATTTCTCCATGGGGTATAACCACGTAAGTTGAAAGAACCTAGTTTAATTGTGCTGTTGTGGTTTAGGAGCTGATTTACAGTGGACTAGTGTGAAGTCACTAGCCTTTTTGTTTCAGAGTTAGTTTGTCTCTTGTTTAACTGTGTTAATCCCCAACATGCCCAGTGGCAATGATTCTGATGAGATGAAACTTTCATATTTGCCAGATGGCAATGATTATTGAAATCAGAAAACTAGATTTTTTCTTCTGTATAGAAAGATGTTTGCATTATAGCCATTAAAAGTTTTTCTAGTTATAGAAATTGTGAGTGAAGTGGAGCTGTTGGTTTGGTTTATAGTTATCTGGACAACATTTTGTTTGAAGGAAGCAAGAAGGCAATATTGTCTCGGCCTGCAGATTTTTTTTTGCCAAGTTGCAAAATTTGCTCACCCTTTCCACACTTCTCCCTATTTTAGCAGTGATCTGCCTGATAGCAGTAGGCAGCACCTGTATTTTCAGCATGGGAGTTGTAGTTTTCATTTTGGATTAAGTTCTTATTTGCAGACTACTGGCATATTATGTCCAATTCCCGTGTTTATTCTTTTATGCTGAGGGTTTTCTAATGGAAAGCATTCAGGTGCAGTTTAGAGAGAGCCTGAGAGTTTAGTGACTAGTCTAACCTTTGGATTTGAATATTTTTAGGAATAGGTTCAAGTTAAATGAATAATTGCATATACGCAATAATTGTGTATAGGTTGGCCAATAACGAGAAAGAACTTTTCTGGGCACTTCCATGTGTCCAGAGTAGCA